GACGATGAATTAGTATGGAGACATTTTTATCCCCCATGTCGATATGGGGCTTTTTTTTACAGCATGGATGAACATGCCCCATATCGACATGGGGTATAACAATGTCTCCATACTAATTCATCGTCAAACAACATAACTCAATGTTATCGTATATTAAGAGGTATTAACTATCGAAGTCTACAACTAATAAGAACAGTATCAAAACACAGTATATAAAGAGTAAATAGATATTTCCCAGACATGTTTTTTTAAGTTTAGGTATGCAAAAACAGAAAATGTACATATCTTTTTTATTTCGTGTCTGATCTTATTCATGTCGCCATTAAAACAAAGCTTGCGCAACACGTGTTCGATGGTCCATGAACTATCGTCGTCTATTAATCTCAAGAAGAGCTAGAGGCACTGTATCAACTTGCCCCTGTAACAACTAGCCCCGGTCTCCCCTATATATCGATCCTTACTTGTCTTTATAAAATATTGTTTTTTATTATACTTGTATAATTAACAGTATAATTTGTTTGTTTGTTTGCAGTTAAGCAAAAGCTACAAAATGGGCTATCTGTGCTCTGTCTACCACGGGTATCGAAACCCGGTTTCTAGCGTTGTAAGTCCGCAGATACGCCGCTATGCTACTGGGGGCGTAGAAGGAAAATAATGAAATCATGTTGTTAATCATGTTGTTAAATTAATTATATTTAGTCAAAATGTATATCTAACCGAGTACAGTTAATTACATTAAGTCAAAATGTTTATCTATCCGGGAACAATTAATTACATTAATTATATTTAGTCAAAATGTATATCACTGGTCCTGAAATTTCATATCGCGGAATTAAAACACTGAAACCAGAATGAATCTATTTTATAATAATCATTTTAATTATATTCCATTTTATGGATCGATTTATCGAGACTGCGACAGTTAGTAACAGACAACTATCCTTTAATCATTAATTTTAACTGTAGTTATTTGTTTTAGGAAATCTGTTACGTCTAATACATACCAGATTTTTCATTCACATTTTTCAGTATGTACGGTATAGGTTAATGTTATGAAATTTTAATATAGGTTTATTTTTAAAGACACAAGTCACAGATTTGGTTGATAAACATTTGTGTTTTATAATAGATGTTTAAACATTTACTATATTTTTACTTACGAAGCTATAAAATTACATGCCATTAGTGTACATGATAGAAGTAGCTGTAATTTAAAGTAATGCTGCTAGCGAAACACACTTACATTTGATATGCCAATTATTATTATGCTAGTTAATTATGAAATTAATTAAATATAACACAATGACTTATCAGCCGTAATTACACGTAATTGACTAAAGAGAAAGATCGCGTTTATTTATCTCAACCTAAATTCATCGTTAGATACAAAAACGTGACTTGGTTCAGTCACGAGTACTTACCACTCCTGTCCCAATTTGCTTCAGTAAGCTTGTTGAAGAGCCAGCAGAGCTCAGCCCTCCTCCACCGATACTGTTGTACAGAGCTGTGGCTGAATAACGTCTCGAGCTGCGTCTCGATCCAAGGGAATTAACACCTAAGTTTGTAGTCAGTATCGGCTAGAAAGGAAAACAAAAGTACTTAAATAATATTGCTTCTTCAAGTGCAGTTTTCTTTCTCTTTTCTGTATAACAATCTCAGTGTGCTCCATGGAAGAAAACGTCAATATCTAAAATAACTCTCTGTTTTCACTAATAATTAAACATATTAAGAAATTAAATCAATTATAAAATTACTTAATACTCATTCTTTGTGAATAAGTTGTTTTTCATAAGCGCTGAATAAATACGGATTTAATTTAGGAACATATTAATAAAGATAACAAACACAGTATACATCTAGTTAATTTACAGTTTTGGAATAAACATTAACATCAAGGTATATTTTAGGACAAGCTCTAACTGATTTGGGAATAAGAGTTTAATGTTGAATTTTATATTTATTCTTACGGACTGTTTAAGATATGAAAGATGTAGCAAAGTGCTATATTTATGTGTTACACATATATATAATTTAAAAATTATTCACATATTACTAAAAACAGAATTTATAACTCTAAACTTTTTAATCATAGTGATATACAGCAGAGGACGCTACTAAAATGGATGGAATTATGTTACACTGAATTGGGTATTATTTTAATCTATCATATTTAGTATAGCTGTTGTATTTATACTGACTGGTCACGTTATCAGATCCTCTCAATCCCTAAAAGTTTCACAAAATTAAATTTTTGGCGTTATGCGTAATAAATTATTATTGTACATATATATATATATATGTGTGTGTGTGCGTGCGTGTGTGTGTGTTTTGGCCCTATTACTGAAGATAATATTATAGTTAATCTGAAACATTATGGTTGGGAGCAAATGTATCTCTGACGTTCAATAAAGCAGAACTGTGGTACCGCCTAACAATTCTTAGACCAGGTGTACCTGTCACAAGAGTCTAAGAAAACTCGCAAACGAATGAGAATATGTTTATTACCTGTAGTCACTGTGGTAGCCAATTGATATTGACTGGATCAAAGCGAAAATCATATAAGGCCCATGTCTCTCCTTATGTTATTTCGATAGTTTAAGAATATAAGCATGATTTTCCCTGATCCTACCTTACGCTACAGATTTCTAAGTTGCGGTAATTTTATGTTTTATCTTATACAATGTATTAGATATATTTTAAATGCTATCAAAGGCTTACTTCAATAAACTTTAACCATTATAGGTAGTATAGGAACCTTAGGCACATTTCATATAAATTCTAACAACTGTAACTTTCAGTATGATGCTGACCCTCCAGTGGCTCAGCAGTAAATCTGAAGATTTATAGCGCCAAACACCTGGTTTCGATACCCGTGGTAGGTTGAGAAAAAGTAGCCCATTATGTAGCTTTGTGTTTAACAACAAACGAACAATATGATGCTGTCCATAGATATCCAGCTTTTGGTATTCTTTCATACATGCAAATATTTTATTTGAAAATTGATATACAATCTTGGACAAAATGTTTGCATACTGTTCCATGTTGATGTTATTTTCTGCATGCATGGAGTAGTTATTTAGTAAATGTCTGAGTAGTAACAGAGAACGTATGGTACGATCGGACAAACATGTACGAGTTGTTATTATGGACCGTATAACTTGTTTTGAGCATTTGCTCGTAAAAAACACATACACACCTGTTTTGTATTAAAAGGCGTACTTTTGGTATAATATTTATCGAAACACATCAACGCTTTGTTCGAACAATTTCTCAATGCTTGTTGTAGAGTTATGCCATGTCATGTGCCTGAAGTTATAGAGCAACAAATTGTTCGACTTTCGATAAATGGTGTGAAGTAAACGGTAATTGTCAGAACAGAAGGGTACCCCCAGTGTACTGTATCCAGAATTCTGAAACGTAATCGGACAAAAGGAAACTTTGTTTCAGGAAAATCTACTTGTAGACGCCAAAAAAACTACTGTCCAAAATGACCATGCTTTGATCAGGTTAACAGGTCAAGGTCAAAAGAAGTCTTGCAGCACCTTACCACAGGAATGGCGTGTACCCATTTATTCCAGGATATCCAGAATAACAGTGAATAAGAGACTGACCAATCAAGGATACTTTGCCGATATTAACCAGAATTCACTGCCGTCACCATGTTATTTGGACAATACAGCATGCCAACTTACAGTTAAGACACTGGTGACTTTTCATATGAGTCTTGTTTCCAGCTTGTTAAAGCTGATGATAGGATTCGTGTTCGTCATTTGCACAGAGAACAGATGAGGGAAGACTGTCTTTCCCACAGGAGGTGCAGTACATGCTTAGGCAGCTATTCCTTATGATGGAAGAATTGCTTTTCATGTCCTTGAGGGAAACGTCAATGGCGCATTCCTGCAGGCATCACATGGAGACGATATTTCTATTATATGTTAGGGCAAGGTTTAGAAATGCGACTTCCCACAGTGTGTGTGTGTGTTGTACAGGATTATTTCGATGAGGAGGACGTTACAAGATTGCCATGGCCAGCAAAGTCTCCAAATTGTAAATCCATTGAGAACGGTTGAGCAGAACTGGGCCGGAAAATTGCTAACCACGACCCTAAACAAGATACTTTAGCTGAGATTCAGCGCCTTCTAGTCAGAAGTTGGGATGAAATCACCTCATCGACAGCATGCCACGTCGCCTTGCGGCGGTTATTAGAGTACGAAGAGGGCCAACACAATACTGAATGTTTAATATGAACTGATATGGTTACAGATGTTATATTTTGTTATCATATATGTTTTAGTAAAGTTTTGTTGTGATAGGTGAAATTTTTAATTACACATCTTTCTACAGGTGTCTGATAAGATTGTTTGCTATTCTAATAAATTGTTCATGATGTCCATAGAACCTGTCTCATTATATAAATTACATATGTAGAGGTTTAATACAACATGTATTTCTCAGTTTGACAGTGCTAAGTGTATTTGTATTTCATCTTAATAATAATGATCTTATTTGTTACAAAATATGCAAACATTTTGGCCAAGACTATACAGGTCTTATTATTACCAGGAGTGTAATTTAAAATCACCTCTTTACTAACCTTGGGTGCAACAAATTGGTATTTGATATCGTGGTTTTCATAGGGGCTAGCACTGGAGTGGCGTCTCATCTGTAAGCTTCCAGCGCTGGAACCACGTGACAAACCACTTTCAGGACTAGATGGCGCTACAAGAATTCTTGGTGGTTGAATGGTATTGTCCGAATGACGTCGTCCAGGTAACGCTGCCTGTACACGTAGTAAGTTCGAATCTGGAGATGAGGATGCTGAGATGTTTAAAAAAGAAAAAAATAATTATGGACAAATACATAAGTTTTTTTTTCAAATAGATAAGGTGCACAAAAAACCTTATCTGTGAAGATCGTAATAGTTTCTTCATTAACTTCCTCTATATAATGTATATGTAGAGAGTGCTTTTAGTGTTTTTAACATTGTGTAAATATAAAACATTGATTTTTAGTATTTATCAAATTTTATAGGATTTTATGTTCGATTATTCAAATTCCACTTTCCGTTAGTGCTTTCAGATTACACCCATTACGTTTGGTAATCCTTCTACATGAACATTACGTAAATTACTCTGTGATATGAACAACTGATTGTAAGACAACTGGTAATTCAGTTGCTCGGTTTTACGAAAAGACAGTGAATGTATGTTTTGGGCGGCTCTGTAAAAGAAAAGTTTGACGCATTGCATTTTACGAACAACCAGTACATAGGAAACCATAATATGCTGATCAGTTCGAACATAAGAATCAGTACATTTATCACATAATCAACGTAGTCGCTATTTGATATAAATAAATATCCTTTGGTTACATACTTCAACACAAGCCTAAAGGGTGATTATTGCATTTATCTCACCACAGAGAACTACAACTATATTAGTTATCTTTAATATCCTTTAAACCCTATGCTAAATTTGATTAAATTATATTTAGTTTGTTCTTTTCTAAAAACCCTTTCAAGTCTGATACTTGGGCAGACTCAATTTAGGAAGGCCAACTTAAATATGCTAGTGAATTGAAACAATTAGAACTTGGTCCAATAGTACAAGAGGTTATGTACACACAGGTTGTGATGTTGTTCCGTATACATCAAGTCGGAACTTGTTAAATAAGGGGTAATTTTATATTTGTTTATGTAATTTACGGTATTAAATGTAGAAAATTCAAAAAGTATTTTAATTATTTACAGTGTTATGTGAATTAAATATACATTATCTAAATGTTAGTATATAAAATACTCAAATGTGACAGGCATGGTACATAAAGTTTTAAATGTGACGATTAGTTTCTAGGTGCTTAGTAATTCGCAAGGAGGCCCAATCTTGTCAGGTGTTCGAAAACACCGATAACAGTGGAAATACCCAACTGATGACCTAAGGAAGAGGGGTCATAGACGGTTTATGTGGCTAACTTGCCATTCATAAATTCATAATCAAACTAATTGTTATTAATTGTAATTTTTATTGAACATGTTTAGCAACTCTTCTGGTAGAAGTTATTACATAATAAAATATTTTAACAAGTGAACATGCCATTTGTGTTTTCACAAAAACAGTTTTATGTAAACATTTTTTCGATTTATGAAACTTTTAGTAAAATGCTCTTGAAGTTTCAACAGCTCTTTGTGAGACAACAATGTGTAAGTTCACATTTAAGACATGTTTAATATATTTCAGGATTTTTTTGTTTCTCAAACTTGTACATAGGCAGTCATCTAATCCTTTCTTGGGATGCAGATGTTCATGTTAAAGTATATGTATTATATTATTGTTATTCTATACTACAGACAAAGGACACCAACGCTCTGATATATACTCTTATACAAAGTATATTTAATTACTCAAAGTCTAGATAATGTTTATGTTTCAGCTCTTAATTTGTTCTTGTTATGAACTTGTACAACACTGCTAACTTAAACACGAAGTACGAGAAATAAAACAAGGAAGGGCACATTTTCTTAAGTAATCAGTTAAGACGATATGTATATGAAGCCTTTTGAATTAATGTATATAAAGACAAATGCACGACTTCTGAAGAGAATACGGAACCTTTTCCCAATGTCTTGCAGTGTAGATTTGTCTTGTAATGAATGCTTGTGTAAAGCTTCAGTAATGATTCTTGCTGGATATAAGTAAATCCGGGTTACTTTCTGGCAAGAAAGAAGTCCTTTTTACTCTCGTTTGGATTATGCATACTTTTGATTTGTTAAATGGGTTTCTAAAATAAGAAGAGTGTTTTCTGTGACACTTTATGAATAATATTTATCCAAGTATTGGTTCGCGCTCATCAATCAATCAATAAGAACACTTCGCTCTTGATCACCTAATGAAATCAATCTACGTTGTCTATTTTGTATTGTCAAATAATATTGAAAGAAATCTCGTAATGCGATTAACACACTCACCGTTTTATAACCCTTATGCAGTATTTTTATACAGTGGCAAGAAAAATCTAAAAATTAAAATCTAACAAAATTAAAACGCTGTGATAGAGTGCGTCATGACAGAAATGATGTAGTAGAACATTTTTACCACTTCAACTCTACTGAATATTCTTCATCAAGTGCTTAAATATCACAAACAAAATATTTAAAATAATTAAAACGCTGTGGTAGAGTGCGTCATGACAGAAATGATGTAGTAGAACATTTTTACCACTTCAACTCTACTGAATATTCTTCATCAAGTGCTTAAATATCACAAACAAAATAATTAAAACGGTCAGGTCATGTTTTTGTGCTCCTTGTGCTTGAAACAAGTTCAAATATCTATTTTAATTGGTAATTACATTACGTCATATATTTTACCTATGTATCACATTTATATTGACAAAATTAGAAACGAAAATATAATATTCCACTAACTCTTAAGAGATAATGTTCTGTTTTTTTTTTCAAAAACTTTTAGACATCAATATGTGAAAGTGAACTATAAAAAAAATCCAGAATCTACTTTTTTTAGAGGAATGCAGAATCTGGCATGTTCTTGAGCTCATTTACTTATTTGAAATCTTGTGACTAAATAAACATGTTTGGAACATTAACTATAGGAAATGTTGATACTTACATGTTTCTTCTACTTTTTGTTAAAAAAAAAGAGTTATCTCCGATTATGGAAAATCTTTAGTTTGTTTGTAATGTCCAGAAGCCTTTCCTTTCACACGTCTTTATAATTATACCTATGACAGCTGTGAAATGTAGTCCATTTCAGAAGCGATAGTTTATCGCAAGTATGTTTACGTTACTGTTTATGAATCATATTAGGTCTTCAAGAAATTAATGTCGCGTTTTAAAACACTTTCATTAACCAACCCCCAAAAATCGTACATCACATATAATAGTTAAACCATGTTAAACGTCACGTTAGTGTAGTATATACATAATGTGTAAAGTTTAGTACATTCTAATCCTTTATAGTGATGGCACACGATGAGACACACGTTCGGCATGTAATGCTGTTTGAATACAATAAGGGAAACAACGCCTCTATAGTCACAAAGAATATCAAAGAAGTTTATGGAAATGTTTTAAACTTTCGTAAGTATCAACGATGGTTCAGCAAATTTCGTTCAGGTGACTTTAGCCTTAAAAACTGTGATGGCAGGGGCCGACATGTTGGAATTGATATTGATGCTCTGAAGACCTTTGTTGAGTCTAACCCAAGGCAACACACTCGTGAAATGGCCATAAAATTGCATGTAACTCATAAAACAATACGTAAACACGTCTGCTTGTTTGTTTTGAAATTCGCGCAAAGCTACAGGAGGGCTATCTGCGATATCCGTCCCTAATTTAGCAGTGTAAGTCTAGAGGGAAGGCAGCTAGTCATCATCACCCACCGCCAACTCTTGGGCTACTGTTTTACCAACAAATAGTGAGATTGACCGTCACGTTATAACGCCCCCACGGCTGAAAGGGCGAACATGTATGGTGGACCGGGGATTCGAACCCGCGACCCGCAGATTGCGAGTTGAGCTCCCTAACAATCTGGCCATGCCGAGCCGTGTGCCTCACAAACTCCGATGATCATCGTTTCCAACGTGTGAACGTTGCCTCGTCTCTTCTGGTGCGTAATGCGCGTGAACTATTTTTGAACAAAATTGTCACCGGTAATGGAAAATGGATTCTCTGTGCGAATATTAAACGCCAAAAACAATGGCTCGGTCCTTGACAAAAACCCCTTCCGACCCCCCCCCAAAAAAAAAACCATACAAACCTGGGTTCTATCTGCAGGAAGTGCATTTGGTGGGACATCAAAGGAGTAATTAATTTCTAACTCCTCAATCGACAGCGAACTGTCAATGCAGAGTTCTATATTCAGCAACTGGAACGTTTAAATCAAACCCTTCATCAGAGACGCCCTTCACTCGTCAATTGGAACGGTGTTCTTCTTCTCCATGACAACGCACGTCCACATATGGCACGTTTGACGCAACACAAGATTATGGAGTTGGGTTGGGAAGTTCTCGCTGCAACACCATCTTAATGGGAAAACGTATGCAAATGTGGAAGGTGTTGATGAGGACATCGACCAGTTTTTTGCTTTAAAGCCAAGTGGTTTCTTTAATCAGGGCATTAACAAGCTGATTGTAAGATGGAAAAACATCATCGATAAGAATGGACACTTAATAAATGTTTTGTTTTGATATATAAGTTGTTCGGGTTTTTTCATCTAAATAAAAAGCGACATTACTTTCTTGTCGACCTAATACGTTGTGTAGTTCGAATGTTGTGAATTGCTCATTATTACATTATTACGTCATATTACTAGAAGCTTCTAAGTTTTTCTCTTTGTTTTAATTGAGTGTTATTGCATCATAATATATCGTAGTGTATGAAACGTTCTAGGCCTCCGTCCAGCTATAAATACGTGTCCAACATGTAGTTCGAGCTAGATATAGAAAGATATAGACTACGTGATTGTGAGTTTACTCATAAAGAACGTATAGAGGTAATTTTTAAAGTGAAATTATTACAGATTTTATTGTAATAACAGAGTAGAAAAAAGAATTCTTCTTGTCAATTGTGTTCTTAGGTAATTTAACCAGCCTGCGTTGACTTTAACGAAAAACAGACAGCTGTGATAATCAACCGTGTAACGAACATTTCTATTTACGTTTGACTTGAGTTAATATAATATTTTAAATAAGTGGACTGCGTGCTGTTTGCTTATTGTTGATATTTATCGCCAACAAGTCCTAGACACCTACTGTAAAGACTCCGGCTCATAAAAAATACGTGACAGACAGAAATAAGGCGC